CTGCCATGTTCCACGCTGTCCCCTGGGGGTCAGGACACATCATAACAAGGGGGGCAAACTGCCAGTTGGACTCCTGAGGGGACAATTTGTATATTAGGCTTTTATTATATAGGGTAATTTATCAAAAAATGAATAAAAATAATTTATCATCTGCAATCAGCAATTCTTATATAATTGAAAAGCACATAGTACATACTAAATATGTTAATGAAAGCATACTGTACATTTTCTGCGTTCTCAAACTTGCTGCCCAATAGATACTTAACTTTTTCTTCTCTGCATAGTTCATGAAATCTGTTTAGATAACCAAGACAATCATGTTACCAAGACAATCATGTTCCTAACAAACTCTGTATTGGTTGGTTTTGACACATAAATCTCACTTTTGAAAAATTTCCCTGTAGATAAACCTGCATGTGTAGCAATAGGGAGTATAGTATATTAGACAAAGCTCAAATGCCTATGATTAAGGGACTATTTAAATTAATGATATATACACACTATGGAATACCATAAAGCAAGGCAAAGAAGGAGGAGGAATTAAAGGAGGGGTAAATTTAAAGATAAGTAGAAGTAATTTCTTGCTTCCATGTTACTATTTTGTATTTCCTGGTTTTTCTCTACCATATTACTTATATTGACTTACTATTTTAAAAACTCCATAGTGCAAAACATTTTCTAAGAAATCAGATTTTTTTCATTTGTTTTTACTATTATTTTTCATTTTCCTGATTCATCAGTTAGGTAAAACATATAACATCTTATAACAAATACTTTTTTTTACCCTCACCACTAAACAACACCAGCCAGGGCTATAACAGATACTTTTATTTCCTTCTAAAAATAAGTTGTTCCATATTGCCCCAGGTAATTATTTTGTTTAAATCTTTGCTCTTCACTGGTTGCAAATTGATTATAACCCCAACACTAATAAAGGTGCAGTACATTCCTTCCCACTTGGGGGGGAAACTAAAGAAAAGTCTCATTTCCTTTTCTCAGTTTTATTACAGTTTTATGTGGTACAAGCTCTTCAAGTAGTAATAAGCAAAGCAACAATAACCTCAAAAATATAGTTAATCTAAGATAGTCATCAAAATTAAACACTCTAGATTAGTACTTCAAAGTCCTGAGAGGAAGTTTGTTATTTTTCATTGTTTAAATGTGCCAGGTTATTAATAGGCTAAAGTAAATAACACCACTGTCCTACTCCCCACTCATGAGACCCAGCCTTTTGTGAAGAAGGAAAATAAATAAGCCACTGACAGCTGGGTTACTTGTCCTATCCAGAGATGGATAGGGCATAAGCATCTGCTTTCTCTGGCCCATGGCTCTTGGTTTTTAGCATTTCCTTCTCAGTAGCAATGTTGATGACTGAGACAGGTCAGACTATGCAGATATGCAATTAAATATTTTATTGGGAATGTTGACCAGTTAATTGGGAGACAAACAACATGAAAATGCAAATTGCTTTTTTTTTTATACACAAACTTCCTCTTCATGACAATATTCACTATTAGGAACACAGAAAAATTAAAGCTAAGCCTCCCTTTGAGGCAGAGCTAACTAGCGTATGTGCAATAATAAACCCAAAAGTAGAAGAAAGAGAGCTGGGCAAAAGTAGTATAATTATAAGACTTAGAGGATAGCTATTTTCCATAATTGGTTAAAAACATTAAGCCACCGGGTCAAGAAATTCTATAAAAATCAAACAGGATTAAGAAAATCGATATTCATGTTTAGATAAATATTTAATTAAATAGAGACATATAGGTACTTATAACATGATTTTGAAAAAGAACTGGCTTAATAAGCTAGCCAGAGTTATAAGAAGAGAATAAGCAAAGATTAATATAAAAATAATCTGAAAATAAGAGAAGGGTTGGCCCTATGAGATATTAAAATAAAGTAAAAATCTAAAGTGACTGAAATTATGTGGTGCTGATATATGAAAAGATAAGTAGATAACTTGAATATCCTCAAAACAATAGAAATACTGCATAATCAAGTACTTCATTGGAAATTTGCAATAAGTGAAAGATGGCAAATAAAGAGTATGGAGAGGAAAGAGTCAATAAATGATGTGAGACAACTATGAGCCATGGGGGGGGGGGAGGGGAAGAAAATTGAAGTCATATCTTATAATTTACAAAAAAAAATCCAGCAACATCAAAGAGTAAATGTAAAATATACTTGTAAAAGTTTAATCTCAGGTATAAAACTTTTTTTAATATATTTTATTGATTTTTTACAGAGGGGAAGGGAGAGAGATAGAGAGTTAGAAACTTCGATGAGAGAGAAACATCGATCAGCTGCCTCCTGCACACCCCCTACTGGGGATGTTCCTGCAACCAAGGTACATGCCCTTGACCAGAATCGAACCTGGGACCCTTTAGTCCGCAGGCCGATGCTCTATCCACTGAGCCAAACCGGTTAGGGCAGGTATAAAACTTTTACTACATAAAAATGACCAAAAAGATATCTGATCAGTGTGGGGTAAACTACCTCATTTGCCAAGGCAAACTGGGAAAATGTCACTGTAGCTTATATCATACAAAAAAACTACCTTTTCCAAAATGTAAGTACACTAACAGGATCCGTGAAACAGGATTGGTTGCTACAGAAGACTTGTAGAACAGTGATCCCCAAAGTCAAAGCATTCACAGATCTACAGTTTATTATAAGAAGAGGATATAATTTAACAACGGCATTAACATAAGGATACGTGTTACAATAAGAGGTCTGGGGAGGCCAGATGCAGACAGGCACCCTTTTCTTCCCTTGCAAGGTCCTTTCGGGACACAATTTCTCTCTTGAATCAGGAGCCACTGATGTGTACACAGAACACCTTGGTACCAGGGAGCCCCAAATCTTGCTGGAAATTTTGGTATTTTGCTAACCACCCCGGCACATTCTGTCGAGGTAACCAGCCTCAACAGCAGGGACTTTTCAGGGTCTCTTTGTAACCAGGAGTGAATCATCAATCATTTGTCATTAAGAAACAAGACTGACCAGCTAGTATAATCTCGCAAAGAAAATTCTCAGACTGATGGCTACAAAGCTACACTCTTTAATTAGTGTTTGGTGCCTTGTGCAGGGATCAGCTCCATGCAGGAACTTTAGAAGCGCTGCTCAGGCTGCTTCCAGGCCTTCTCAATTAGCCCTTCTCGCATAATAAGGACCTCATAGAAACACGAAGAAAAAAAACTAGAAACCCAATGAAAATTCACAAAGGATATAATTATACACTTCATTTAAAAATGTTTTATTTATTTATATGTATGCAAAAAAAGTTTCAACATCAAACATAAAAAGAGAAGTGTAAATTCAAATAATATTAAGATGCCATTTGCATATATGGAGGGTAATTTGGAAGTATCTACTATGGTTTAAATCAGTGGTTCTCAACCTTCTGGCCCTTTAAATACAGTTCCTCAGGTGGTGACCCAACCATAAAATTATTTTCGTTGCTACTTCATAACTGTAATGTTGCTACTGTTATGAATAATAATGTAAATATCTGATATGCAGGATGGTCTTAGGCGACCTCTGTGAAAGGGTCATTCGACCGCCCACAGGTTGAGAACCGCTGGTTTAAATAAATGCACTTAAACTGACCTAGCAACTTATCTTAAAAATATACTCACACATGTGTGAAGTTACGTATGACTAAGGTTCTTTGTTATAGTAGTCATTTCTGTAATAACAAAAGATTACAAATAATCTAAAAGTCAATAGAAAATTTCTAAAATCATGATAAATGTATCCATACAATGGACTGCTATCCTATATAATAAAGAGCTAATATGCAAATGATCATCACACCCTCATGCCATCACGCCCTAATGGCTCAGACAGTCAACACTGGGGAGAGAGGAATGGGGACCAGCCAGGCACAAATGAACTCATGAGAGAGGAATGGGGACCTGCCAGGCTGCGGCCCGGGAGAGGGACAAGCCGCCCACCCCATGGTCCCGGGTGCCTGTGGCTGTGGCCCAGGCAAAGCTGCCTGCCCACGGTCCTCTGTGGCAGTGGCTGGCCTGGGCAAAGCTGGCCCAGGTACTGGGTGCCTGCGGCCGACCAGAGGGAGGGAATCCTGGGTCCTGGGTGCAGGGCAAGGCAGAAGCAATTAAGGGTGGTCAGGCCAGCAGGGGAGCAGTTAGGGGTGATCAGGAAGTCAGGCAGAGGTGGTTAGGGACAATCAGGCAGGCAGGCAGGCGAGCAGTTAGGAACCAGCGGGTCCTGAATTGCGAGAGGCAGTCAGACATCCCCAGAGGGGTCCCAGATTAGAGAGGGTGCAGGCTGGGCTGAGGGACCACCTCCTCCTCACCCCTCCCTCCCCCGTGCACAAATTTCGTGCACCGGGCCTCTAGTAAAGTTATAATGAAATAATGAGAAAGTTCTTTATGTACTGATATAAAATTTTGTCCAAAATATATATTTAAGTACTGAATGGTGCAAAACCATGCAAACAGGTTGTTACCATTTGTGTAAAGGTAAGAAAGGGCAGTTTATGTTCATTTGCTTGTAAAATTCAAAATACCTCTAGAAGAATAAAAAATAAATTGGTAAGTCTAATTGCTTTGGAGGAATAGAATTGGGTGAATAAAAAGACACGGGGAACAAATGAGCTTTTTGCTATGTATCCTTTTTAGTTTGTATTCTTGAACAAAATAAATTGCTTTTGTTTTCAGTAAGTATTATTTATTAATAGTTTTTCCTCACATTTCCTTTAGATATATAGTTTTTAATTTTATGTTTTAATTACAGTTTAAATTCAATATTATTTTTTATTAGTTTTAGATGTACAGCATAGAATAGTAGATAATTCTTGAACAATGTAAATTTTTAAACAAAAACAAAATAATGCAAACTAATGTCACAAAAAATCATCAGTAATTGGTAGTTGTTTTTAGTCTATGCGGAAGGATGACTTTGTTATAAGTTGTCAGGAATTTAGTAGAAATGATTGTTATTGTTTGAAGTTTTCCAGGTGTCAGCTATTGCAAAGAAGCAGCAAGAAAAACTCATGCAACAAGACAGAGCGCTGTTGAACTTCACACAGTGGCAGAAAAACCATGGCCTCCAGATAAAATACTGCCAAACCTTGATGCAAAATTTTTCCAGATCAGGTAACTGATATGAAAATAAGTTTTCACTTTGCAGATATGAATGTATGCACCAACCCTGCACCCCACTTCAGTGACATTCGTTTTATTCTCTGCAAAATTGTAGTCAGCATTTTATAATAGAAGAGACATCATTTGATCCACTCACCAGTTTGATCTTATTTCTGTATTTCAATAGTATGTAGAAAATACAGAGGTTCCAAAAAAATGCAGGTAAAGAAAAACATTCACTCAAATTTCAGTGAAATGTGTGAGATTAGTAGGTCAGATGTTTTATCCAATCAAATTTGTAAGTGTATCATTAATTGTAGCTCTAAATCCCTCAATATATTTAGTTCAAATATATTCAAATTGAGATGACTCTTTCAGCAAATATCATTTTGAAAATTAGAGTATTTACCTTAAAACTAAAAACAATGGAGAATTCAGCTCTTTTAAAAAATTATATGAGGTTATTTCAGTGATATTTTTTACATCCCTTACAAGCATTTTAAACCTAAAACAGCCTATTTCTACTTGTTATATAGTTTCTATTCTATTATTACTTAATTTACATTTAATAATGCTTATAATTCAGAGAATTGACTTCCCTGTAGTGGATACCACTTAAGTAATCACCAATGAGAGAGGTCAAAAACCTACCATAGCTCCTCCTGATTAAATTTGAATCATTGTGTGCCCAACAATGTTTTTAAATATAATAAGCTATTGCAAGCATGTGGTAGGACCACCACTGACCATCAATCTTGAATTGATGACAATATCCACTTGGAGACCGACATATCCAGGATGTTCTTCCACCCTTCAGTTGCCATTGTTAACACTATGTTATAACTATAACAATATTCAGTATCTTAATTAGCATGGATTCCAAACAAAGGATATTGATAAACCTTTAAAAATTAGGCATGTGGGCCATGGAAACTGATAAAAAACTATTTCTGACTTTGTCTAAAAACTTGAGTGCTGCAAATTTCAGTATCTTTTCCTGTATAAAACTGTGCCAGAAACACTTGGTCAAAATCTTGCTGTTTGATTCTCCTTTTATACATTTGAGCATCCATCTTTTGTGACTATATTATTTCTTAAGGCAGATTCCATAAAACTGATTACACATATGGCTTATTTCTTAGTTATATCAAAGTCTTAAATTAAGCATATTGGCTACATGTTTTTTTTTAAGTTTCTTCACCTATATGTTTTCAAATTATTCTTGAAGGTGCATTGCTTGCTTTCTCCATTGTACATGAAACATCCTATATAATAAAAGCCTACTATGCTAAGTATCTGGTCATCGGGTCAGCCATTCAACTAATCCTATATAATAAAAAGGTAATATGCAAATTGACCCTAACAGCAGAACGACTGGGAATCACAGGTCACTATGACATACACTGACCACCAGGGGGCAGACGCTCAATGCAGGAGCTGCCCTCTGGTGGTCAGTACGCTCCCACTGGGGGAGCTCGGCTCAGCCACAAGCCAGGCTGATGGCTACCAGCACAGCGGTGGTGGTGGGAGCCTCTCCCACTTCCTCAGCAGCGCTAAGGATGTCCAACTGCAGCTTAGGCCTTCTCTCTGCTGGCAAGTGGGCATCCCTTGAGGGCTGCCGGGCTGCCAGAGGGATGTCTGACTGCCAGCTTAGGCCCGATTCCCCCAGGGAGCAGGCCTAAGCCAGCAGGTGGACATCTCCTGAAGGGTTCCAGACTACGAGAGGGCACAGGCCGGGCTGAGGGACCCCCGAGTGCACAAATTTTTGTGCACCGGGCCTCTAGTATGCTAATAATATGCTAAGGCTACTCAACCACTCGCTATGAGGTGCACTGACCACCAGGGGGCAGACAGTCAACTGGTCGACCAGTTGCTATGATGTACACTGACCACCAGGGGGCAGACACTCCAACCAGTAGGTTAGCTTGCTGCTGGGGTCTGGCCGATCAGGACTGAGTGAGATGGGCTCGACACGACCTGGAGCCCTACTGCAGTCCCTCTCTGGCTGGCCAACCTCCCACATCCCTCCCTGACCCCGATCATGCACCAGTGGAGTCCCTTGGCCTGGCCTGCACCCTCTCACAATCCAGGACCCCTTGGGGGATGTCAAAGAGCCAGTTTCGGCCTAATCCTGCAGGCCAGGCCAAGGGACCCACTGGTGCACAAATTCATGCACCGGGCCTCTAGTTTATTTATATATAATTGATTTCAGAGAGGTAGGAAGATAAAGTGATAGAAATATCATTGATGAGAGGGAATCTTTGACCAGCTACCTCTTGCATGCCACCTACTGGGGATTGAGGCCAAAACCTAGGCATGTGCCCTGACTGGGAATCAAACCATCACCTCCTCCAGGTTCATAGGTCTACTCTCAATTACTGAGCAACACTAGCAGGGCAAAATATGTTCATGTTTAACTCTCATAATTTAAGCATTAACTTGAGGCTTATTACTCAACTTGCCTAATGGTCCAGTACATTTCCAACTAGACTGGGCCAGTCGGATTAACAGATAGAAAATGATAAGCAAACAAATGAGGACTATAAATGAGATAAACTTAAGTAAAGGAGATATTTATAAAAATAGAATAATCATGTCAATTATTATAGAAGAGGAACAATTTGAAAAAAGATATTCCCAAGTTAATTTTACCTTAAACTAACTTAGAGACCTATTGTAGTTGGAAATTATTGTGTAAATCTTACTGTAGTCAGCCTCAGAGAAGCTTAAATTGTAAATACTGCAAGATATGACCCATTCGATTAGAGTGTTCAGCTTCACTGGGGGGTGATTTAAGGGGTTCTTTTGAGAGATGTTCTTCTAATATTTTTACAATAACTTTAATGAAGTAAAATGTTTTATTCAAAGCTCCTTGTCCAGACAACTGGATTCAGAATGGAAAAAGTTGTTACCACGTCTTTGAAAGTTGGAATAATTGGGAAACCAGTAAGGAGGATTGTTTGAAGGAGGGTTCCAGTCTTCTACAAATAGACAGCAAAGAAGAGATGGTAAACACTGTGTTATGGCTTCCTATCATTCTGAAAATACCATGTTACCCATTAAAAGAAAGGATTAATTGTAAATAAGATAGAATTCCTTAATATTTTATGACAGCAATATATTTGTTGTAAAGGTTTAAAAGAGACAAAGTAGGAATTAGTATGATTTGTGTTCCTTTTAATTGGAGAAGCAAAACAAAAAACAGAACAGTTATCCTGAAATCATTTAGCAGATGATAGTTTTATGTCCTTTGTTAATCAAAGATGGGAACGAATAAAAGAAATACCATTTTTGTGACATGCTAATCAACTCTAAAATATACATACATTATAATGGTATATATGTTTTAAGTTTATTATTTTTAATGCTGTAGGGAAGAATAATAAACTATAAAATTTTTTCAATTATCAAAGAAAACCAGAGATATGAAAATTGAGGCGCTGTCATGAAATGGAAAGGTGTATGAAAATAAGGATATGCTAAATAAATTGTTTTATGAACATTATACCCAGTTTACTAACATCTTAAGCAAACAATAAAGTTTTTCTGAAATCATTCCATCCATATATATGTGTGAAGTAGAATTTATGGCTACACATTTCTGAATTCATTAAGTATATGCAGCTATATTCAGTAATTAATCAAAGTTCATTTTTACAAGAATAATGGGAGAACATTTGTTAACTATGTGCAATAAAGCAAGGCAACTTGAACTAATTTACTACAAGTATGGGTTTCACTATATTTTCTGTGCAAATTTGGTGACAACATTAGAAAGTTTCCTCTAACAAAAAATATACCTACAGTTAAGTTCCTTCTGGGATCTTCCAAACTATTTTTTTATTTTTTAAAAAATATTTTTAATTGATTTCAGAGATGAAAGGAGAGGGAGAGAGAGATAGAAACATCAATGATGAGAGAGAATCATTGATCGGCTACCTCCTGCACCCCCACCCCCACTTGGGATTAAGCCCACAACCCAGGCATGTGCCCTTGACTGGAATGGAACCCAGGACCCTTCAGTCTGCAGGCCAATGCTATATATCCACTGAGCCAAACCAGCCAGGGCCTATTTTTCATTTTGAAGTATACTGTGAAAGAATGATCTACGTGGTCTATGATGTTGAGGATACTTTACTTCTTCTGATAATGAGGGTTCAGTATAACACTTACCTTGTTTGACATATATCTCTGCCAAACTCTAAATCTGTTAAAATAATTTTAATATCAGGTGCCTATTTTTCCCATGGTCTTCAACACTACATTGATCATATGGCAACCCTATATAATAAAGAGGTAATATGCAAATTGACCATCACTCCAACACACAAGATGGGCGCCCCCATGGGGAGGACAGTTGTGGGAAATCAGGCCAGCAGGGGAAGGCAGTTGAGAAGGACCAGGCTGGCAAGGGAAGGGAGAAGTGACCAGGCCAGCAGGGGAGGGCAGTTAGGGGCGTCGGGCCAGCAGGGGAGCAGTTAGGTGTCAATCAGTCTGGCAGGGTAGTGGTTAGGGGGTGATGAGGCTGGCAGGCAGAAGCAGTTAGGGGCAATCAGGCAGGCAGGTAGGCGAGCAGTTGGGAGCCAGCAGTCCCAGATTGTGAGAGGGATCCCACCGGGATTGGGCCTAAGTGGGCAGACATCCCTTGAGGGGTCCCAGATTGGAGAGGGTGCAGGCTGGGCTGAAGGACAACCCACCCCCCCATGCACGAATTTTGTGCACCGAGCCTCTAGTAGAAAATAAAATCTATGATATGTATTTCTTCTTGTAAATACACCTCCTCCTTTCTCCAGCTTTAAAGTTCCATTCATTTCTGTCTAGGAAAGATGACACACTTTATATTTCATGGTATTTTGTTGTTGTTTTCCCCACACCCTCCGTTCACCAGCCAGCTCTTGTTTCTTATAGGAATTCATCACTGACAGCCTGAGGAAGATCAAAAGTGCCCATGATTACTGGGTGGGACTTTCTCAGGATGGACCCAGCCAACCTTGGTTTTGGCAAGATGGCTCCACTCCGTCCCCTGACCTGTAAGTGTCTAAGGGAAAAATCACAATGTTTCAAGAAGAAAATACATAAGGGAATTCAAATGTTTATTTTATTTTATACCTTAGATGTCTTCCAAAAAACATAACCAGCATTATCATTTCATAGACTTCTGATTGGAATCAAAGCTGAGTAATTTAAGAATAGCTTCATGGCTTCTAAATCTTCCTCCTTCTTTCTTCTCCCCCTTCCTCTCAGCTTTACCGCCTCGCCTCACTTTAGAACATTTACATCAACATCTGAAAGTCTGAACAATATTATTTACTTATCAAATATATTTTCCTTTGTATAATTTAATAACTAGAGAGTGCTAAGGGAAAGAGATTATAGTAATTATTAAGGAATTTCCATATTAAGCTTTTCAGATAGACCATAGGGAAACTGATGAACAGAATCAGGTGCCTTAGTGTTTTGAAAATTAAGAGTCAGGGAAGATGTTCTACTCTAGAGCCTATCTGTGTGCTCAAATATGCAGTTTGTTCATAATATGCTAACATATGTTTATTGAGAGAAAACAGCTCTGTCCTTGAAGAAGGAGGACAAAACTACTATAGGAGGGTGCCATATTAGAACAAAATAAAAAGTTACACACCTCTCATAAGTTACCCACAAGAATACCTCCGTAAACCCCATACCTAACCTCAGGTATACTGACTCATCTCTCCAGGTTACCAACAAAGAGACCCCAATCAACTCACCAGCTCTGTGGATACTTCAGAAACAAGGTCCTGTCTTCCGCTAACTGTACCGTTTGGAAATATTTTATCTGTGAAAAGTACACGTTAAGATCCCCTGATTGAAAGAAGTTGAGTTCGAAGAAATGCCAAAGAGCAAGTGCAGAAGTGAACCTCTGTGTGGGCTAAATGAGCTACCTGGGACTCAAAACTTATTTTTGCATTTGCCATGGGTAATATTCTTTCGTATTTCGCAGACATCCTTTTGACTGTGTTCGAATTGCCAAGAATAAAGTTGATTTAGGGCTACAGAAGATAAAACCCTGAAAGGCTGAAAACAAACTGAAGAAAAATCACTTTCATTTGTCGTTTTTGTTTTGTTTTTAGTCTAGAATGACTATAAATGCTACACAGAATTCTATCTCACTGGGGAGATGGTGCAGTTCTTGCTAATTTTTTAAATAAATGCTGTCTTTAAAACTCACTTTCTGCCAGATCTCTTTTTTAAAAATATATTTTATTGATTTTTTTCAGAGAGGAAGGGAGAAGAATAGAGAGTTAGAAATATCAATGAGAGAGAAACATGTGCCCGCAACCAAGGTACATGCCCTTGGCCGAAATCAAACCTGGGACCCTTTAGTACGCAGGCCGACGCTCTATCCACTGAGCCAAATGGGTTAGGGTTGCCAGATCTTTTATGCATTTGCTACGTTTCCAAGGCATTGTTATCAGACTGGTAGGATAGGAGCTCCGGGATCTGGATTATCAAGTTGGAAGGAAGAGATGCTGATATCTGCTGCCTGTAAGACAATACCCTGCTTAGAACTGTGAATTTCTACTAGAGAGATGAGCTACCAGTACTCACATAAGTGAAAGGGATAGTCAGGCTGCCAATACCAGCCTGTCTCTGGTGAAGGGTAGCTGTGTGCTTCCTTTCTCCCTCTCACTGACCATCCCCACCACTCACAAATCAAAGGACTCTCAAAGGTTAGCCCTCCAGCACTTTTAACTGTATCCCTCTGTGCCTTAATTTATCTACTGTAAAATAATAATAAACTTATTTCAAAATACTTTTGAGGTTTAGATCATTAATATATGTAAATTGCTAAGAGTAGTGCCTTGGGTATAGAGTTTGACACTGTATCGATGCTTGCTATTATTTGTAGTAAATCGCCAATCATCTCTAGGCATCTACCTTATGTTGTATTCCAGGTAAAAATTACCCCTTTTCCTGCTCATGTCCAAGGAATATTGAAAGGATAAAGTTTATATGTAAAATGCCAGCAACTGTCTAGAGAGAATTTATCTTTTAAAGTGAATAAATTTCTTCAAGTACATTTATAGACAATTTGTGTCCTAGCTCTGTAGGCTCCTTGAACATGGACTAGCTTGTTCTCAAGAGACAGTGGATACAAAAATATCTTATGATCTATGGGAAGGAAAAATTCACTAATATTACATTACTCTGCTACCCCTTACCATTACCATCACTACAATAACACAGTAGATTCTCATCAAATATTTTCTAAATGTGATATATTTTTATTAAATCTTTCATTTTTCACAAGGAATAGCTGAGCCACCCTAGATTCTCATCTTTCTTTATAATAAAGACAGCACTTAAATAAATAAAGTAAAATAAAACCTAAGTCACTGAAATGGTGCAAATCATTTAAACAAACCTATAAGTCTATTGTAAAAGGTGACCTTTGAAGAGGAAGGTCCTTTAAGGAAGAGAATTGCATGTTTTTGTGTTTTATTTTATTTTATTTTATTTACCCTTAACCTTCAGTTTAAATGGTGGGGATTTCAACATGAGGAATTTTCTCTAGTTTTCTGCTGAAACCTAGAAAAGGAGACGAGCCAAGAAAACAGCATATGTTTGGTTTTCACAGCTGGCAGCTGGATATAATAACCTGGAATAAAGGAGGAACAATAGCAATTTTTAATAGTGAAGGCTGTTTTTCTTCAAGCTTTTTCAAAGTATTGTCACGAGCTATGTTTAGAGAAAGCATAGGAAGTATTTAATAATTCTTCTAGGTAAAAGTACAATGAAGCAAAAGGCAAACATCCTTCGGCTGACGTCATCCCGCCGGCATGGGATGCAGTATTTACAAGTCAGAACGTTATCTACAGTGCAGCTGGCAGAGCTCCTTCAAATTCCCTCAGTGGTGATACTCTTTCCACGCAGGTACTACAGGTGGAGGATGTTTTCCTGCAGGTTGATTTTGGCCCAGAATGTCAAAGCCTTTTCAAGGCAGTGGTAAGAGACTGGGCCTTAGCACTGGGATAATCAGTTCTATACCCTACCTAGCCCCACCAGTAACAAAGGGGGTATCTTGATTCATCTCAAGTTAGCTTTTAAAAATGGGAAAGAACCCGGCCAGCGTGGCTCAGTGGTTGAGACATCGACCTATGAACCAGGAGGTCACTATTCAACTCCCGATCAGGGCACATGCCCGGGTTTCGGGCTCAATCCCCAGTGTGGAGCATGCAGGAGGCAGCCGATCAATGATTCTCTCTCATTTTTGATGCTTCTATCTCTCTCACTTCTTCCTTCTTCTCTGAAATCAGTAAAAATATTTTTTTAAATGGGAAAGAAAAGAACATATAAAAATCTGTCCCTGCAAAAGTAAAGAGGCTTTGCAATATGGTATGGTTAAAGTACATTAACTGAGTAAAAAGAAAAAAAACATTAGAGTAATAAGATTGAAAGACTAATAACTGTTGTTAGATTCTATTAGTCTATTCATACAATGAACCTTGTAAAAAATATTATGTACACTTTAATTTGGATTATGCTGCTTTTTCTATTCTTCAAAATTGATAAGAATCCCTTCACCAAGTATTTGACCCCCAAATATTAAGGCCAACCCTGAGGCAACCTAATAGACTATTTATTTCATAATTTGTTTATATCCCCGAAGTAAAAGCTCCCATTACACTGCTCACACTTCCTGCTGTTATAGGGCTCAAGACCTGTTTCCTGTTGATAAGTTTTAAGAGCTGGTTCAATATCCTCAGGAAAAGAAATAGCTCATTTTGTACCCTGGGGAACTGGGCCTACCAGGAAGGGCCATGTTCCTCGTTTGAGTTTTCCTGCAATTGCTTCAGAATTACCTAAACACACAAGAGCCTAGACAAGGTCTTCTCTTGCTGAAAAGCCAATTCAGGGGGCGCTGCCCTCTCTGATTCTCAATGGAAAATTGATCTCAGCAACTCATATTTTCCAATTAATGCTATAATTATTTTCTATTCTTATTTTTTATTTCTTTTTTAATTTATTGATTATTTTTTGAGAGAGAGAAAAACATCAATTTGCTGTTCCACTTTATTTGTGCATTCACTGGTTGTTCTTGTATGTGCCCTGATCAGGGATTAAACCCTCAACCTTGGCATATCGGGATGATGCTCTAACCATTTGAGCTACCTGGCCAGGGTTATGTTTAAAATTGTTTTAAAGTGTGGAGAGAATGTTGTGCCATACTCCTTTTCTGTTTTTTGAAATATTTGCTCATATTGTGATCAGTATTGTGGGCTTTACTGTACAGATGAGGGGGTTATTGAGGGCAAAGACAGAGGGAAATAGCTCAAGAACAGCCCACAATGTCAAACAAATGCTTTTATTTTATTTTCCTTCTTCACTAAAGTGATACTTCCCCTTAGGTTGCAGATTTGGAGATAGAATACTATTCAACACCCACCTTCCAGGCAGGTACACTTTTTAAAGCAATGTCATCTAAAGAGACTTTTGTCATCCAACCCTGAACACGGGTCAAAACTTGCGTGCCCTGTCTCTATTTTACAAGTTAGTCCACAAAGTCATTTGATTTCCTCATATTAACGGAATTTTCTTGCTGTCGTAGCAAGATTTAAATAACACTTAACTGCCTAACTAAAGGTCTAATCCACATTTCATATTATGTGCTTACGACATTACCTGCGTGCATTAAATATCTGCACTCATCGTGGAAAATAGTTGGTAATAGCCACAGCTCCCCAATGCCGGTGCCTTTCTACAATGTGTTCATTAATGCAGGTCTGCAGAGAAGGTTGCTTATGCTGGTTTGTGCTCCTCTTTATTTTAAAATAACCACTAAATCCCTTTTCCCTCTTTTTGCATATTTTTAATATCCCTTAAATTTTATATTACAATTTAGATTGTGGACGTGACTTCACATTTACCTCATTTCAGCTAATAATAATAATACCGTAAAGAAATTATAAATATCTTCATTTTATACTTAACAAAATAAACTTCTTGAAATAAAGTGATTTTGCAATAATAAAACAAAGAGATCTAAAAATTTTCATTTTATGATCACAAGTACAGTTCTTGCACAACACAATAAATCAAAATTTGTTGAACACTGGAGAATTTTTCTAGCCAATAGACAGAAAATCTGTAATTGGTAATTGATAGGTGACACGGTCTTATGAAAATTAACACAGAAATGTTCTCTTTATCATATGTTTGGAAACTTCATGTCATTTCATCATAAGATAGATGTTTACTGAAAATAAAACTGAAGAATTCCAGTTTCCACTGTTGAAAAATAAAGATTTATAATAAATTATCCTTTCTAGTGTTAATGCCCTAAAATGGATACCTGTAAACAAATGAAGTCAGGGTGTATGATGGTGTTCTTTGCAATGACCCCTGTATGGCTGTGCGTATTGTCATCCTGAGAAAGGGACACCTCCACACAAACCCAATTATGTATGTCACAGTCTCACTTCCCATGACCTGATCAGATAACTTGCCCCGCTGCAATTCGGTTTACTCACCTTGAGCCACGTGTTGATGACAAATTTGCTTCAAAGGATTTCATTTTTTACAAAAGTCTTAAAACCATTCTTTGGAAGACAGAATGCATCTCAAAGACTTCTTATTTTCTCAAATAATCAAATAATCAGTACTCTTGTAGAACCCATACAATGTCTCATAAGGCGCAATCAAAACACTTCTATCATATTTTGAAGAGCATTTTCACACTGACTTTTCCCCCAAGTCACAAATTCATTCAAAATCACACACACACACACTTCACATTGTTTATTATTATTAAATCTCCAGTACCTGAAAGGTATAAACATGGATCAAATGGAAGAAAATAGGAACTGAAACTAAACTATTCCAGATGCACATAAACAGACTGACTTTTGTTCTGGTTGTCAATCTCTCTGAAAGGAGCATCAGGGATAGTAATTCTGATATGGAACCAAGTTGAGGCTATTTCTATCCTAGAAGAAATTCTTAGGAGACAATCATTGGAATCTTAAATAGACATGGAGAGATATGTTTGTAATAAGTTAAGATTCTAATAAAGAGAATTAGCCAGAGAAGTTGGGGGCTCTATCGAGAAACTGAGATGGAAAAAAAATATGAACTTAAGCAAACCAAATGAATTAGCTTTGTATTTGTTAGCTCAGTGTAAGAAATGATTCCTAATTTCCCCTGGACTAATTGGCTGTTGGAGCAAAGGATCTTACATACATTTAGTTTCTCTGTTTAACTTTCTCACTCCAAGTATAAAGGACGACATAGGAACAAAAAATGGTATTAGATGCTGAGAGAGAACAACACTAGAAAGTTATCTCAAAATCAAGAAGGTGGATTCCAACAACCTCATGGATTTCAGGGGCCAGTTGGTGATACGTAATCAGGACTTCTTTGTGACTGGTGAATATGTGCATAAACTTCCAAGCTCAGAAGTACTGGTGATCTTGAGCAGGAAATATGAAAATCCTTCTTATGCCGGTTAGAGCAATTGCCTTTCCAGATTTTTCTCCATTTCCCTATGTCTCAGATATCCTCTGCATTGACTTTGTGTGGCTCAAGCCTTTTTGTTGAATTGTTACATAAACATGGATCAAATGAAAGAGGATAGTTTGAAACCAAACCATTACAAGTGCACATAAAGAGAATGACTTTTGTCTGATCTTCAATTTCTCTGAAGGGAGGGAGCACACAGTTGTAGTCATAGGTGGAGAGTCAATCACCTACATGTAACGAATGATTCACAGACGCAAAGGGAGTCTCTCTAACTTGACTGGGGTCGCCACTGTTTCACACGCACACCGCCTCAACTCTTCGCAGTTCTTTGAGAAAAACATTCCACTGAGAATGGTCACACAGTCCCCGTCTCCTGGACTGGTGAAATCTGTTTTAATCTTAAACCTTAAAAAAAGAAAAAAAAGTTAACTTTATTATATTTTATTTATAGAAATAAATACTAAGTACTCAGAAAGTACATAGGAAATATTCCTAGCTTGATGCAATTATAGAACAGATGCCCAGAATGATTTTACTGGAAAGATAAAGTCAACAACCACTTTCTTTTCAACCCCTCAATTTCCATGGTCATTCTTTGAAGCATCAAGTCAACCAAAACAACAAAAACTATTTCTATCTAAAACTATGGTACATGTTATAATCCAACTTTAACATGTACTCTTACAGCCATCTGAAAAATTACCTTCTCTATGACTCAGTTTATTTAACTGTAAGATAAAAATGATTAAGTTGTATATTTCCTATTTCCTACAATTTTATTAACACTTTTATCTGTCAGCCTCAGGACATCCTTCTACAAACATAGTATCCAATACAAAGGAGATGTTCAGTTAATGCTCATTGAACCAATTTGTTGGCCTGACACACTCTATTACATGCCTTTCCCACAAAATATTCTGAAGGCTTACAGTTCAGAAGTGTAAGGTGCTCCATCCACCCACAGCCAGGGCTTGTCACTGCCGTTGCGGGACAGCCCTATCCAGTAAGAGTAGAAAAACTCAGAGTAGCTCTGAGGCATGGCAAACTGCTGCAAAGGCACACAAGAAAACGTTCAGCTTTTAGAAATATTATAACACATATATATACTAGAGGCCCGGTGCATGAAAATTCATGCATGGGAGGGGAGTCCCTCAGCCCGGCCTGCCCCCTCTCACAGTCCGGGAGCCCTTAGGGGAGGGAGGCAACCCGGAGGTCAGGGGAAGTCGGCACCCCCACACACCTCTGCTGCTGCCACTGCTGGCAGTGCAAGCCTCAGCCGGCCCTGGTTACCTGGGCGGCTGGGCAGCCACCATCCGAAGCTTGCCTGCTCCTAGGGCCGGCCCTGGGCTGCTGGGGGGCTGAGGGGACTGAAAGACTCTGGCCTTGCCGTGCACCTGCCACCCCAGTGAGGCTGAGGGGACTGGGCGCAGTCATCTTGTGGCTGTGGGCGCCGCCATCTTTGAGGGTGTGGCAGTCAATTAGCATATTCCCTCCTATTGGCTGTGGGCGCTGCCATCTTTGCGATGGCATGAGGGTCAATTAGCATATTCCCTCTTTATCAGATAGGATATCTATACAGAGATGTGTAGTGCCAGCCAACACTTTTAATATGAGAACAAGACATGACTCCTGCCTCACATAGATAATAATTCATTTAAGAGGAAAGCATCTATGCTAAGGTCAGTTCATTTGTTCGTGCATGGGAGATACACTGATATTTTGAAACAAAGAAGCACATCAACCAAGACTTAAAAGTGACCTGTTATTTTCAAGTCACAGGGTAAGACACATATAAAAAAAAAATACAGGAGGCAGATTTACAAAGAGATGTGAAGTGATTCTGGGAAATGGAAGAAAAAAAATGCAGGAATGGGGAAGTAACTTTTAGAAATACATGCAGAAGGAACTGACCAAAGGGAGAAAGAAGAAGAACTTGGAAGATGACTTATGTGTCAGACTAGGAAGGGGAGAAAGAGAAATTTATATACTTAATCCTCACATGAGGATTTTTTTTGTTGATTTTAGAGAAAGAGGAAGGGGGAGAGAGAGAAACGTTGATGTAAGAGAGGAACATTGACCCGTTGCCTCCCATACGCTCCCTGAATAGGGATCAAACCTGCAACCTAGGAATGTGCCCTGACTGGGAATCAAACACAAAACCTTTAGGTGTAGGGAATGATGTTCTAACCACCTAAGCCACCCAGCCAGGGATCATACATATACTTTTAAATACATGCACATATATATGTATAAATTGATATAACTTCCTGATTGAAATAAGTGGGAGAATCTGTGGACCTTGACTCCTTAGATGATTCTCCTTTAAAGACATCTTTTTGAGAATACTTCAAACATTGACCAAAACTCAGGACCTTACCAGCACTTCTTGTGTGTTTATCTTCAGCATGGTTGAGTTTTCAGCAATACAGAAAGAGTCACAGTCCTGCCAACTCTTGCTCTTTTTATAGAACTGGTAGCATTTGTCCCCATGCCATTTCCAATTTTCTGGGCAAGGGCTACATCTATGTTCTTGGAAAGAAACCAATTTTAATGTTATTTTCTACATAGGTCTGTTTTCTTGCCTCTCTTGAAATTATATAGTATTTGATGACCCAAGAATGAATTTCCTTTCTCTTAGATATTATTTGCCGAGGCAATGATAACTACAAATGTTTACCTAGCACCCACTATGCCTAGAATTATAATTGGTCCTGAGTATACAGTGGAAATTAAAACAGACACTACCTGCTTTCATGGATATGAAATCTAACAATGAATGATTGGAACTTCCTTGCTCCTTGCCCTATGCAATTTAGCACACAGAGAGGATGTCCAATACATACAGAACTTTTCATATGTTCAGGAACTCAACATACATTTTACTTAAGAAACAATTGAAGTTTTAATAATTTTCTTCTTCAAAATCCTGTTATATAATAGGAAATGGGTTTTTTAAATGCAATATATACCAATAGGGTATGAACTCTTTTTCCTTCTAAACACAAATAAATAAAATTTTAGAAAAAAAATGCTTAAATACTTAGCCAAGTATGAATTAAAATGGTAAATATTCGTTATCAGACGTTAAGATGGGCATCAAAGTTAGAGAATTAAGTACGGAGGTCAAGGATGAGATGAACTACCGGGGGTAGTGGTTGTAAATATAGGAACCAAGCCCTGACAGCTATATCTATGTGGGAACATGGCCTTGGCCTCTGAGGGTTGGGGACCTGTAACCGAGTCCCTTATTGGTATATGGTAAGATGGAAACTCAATAATTCCATAAAAATGTCTTTATTTTCAAGACAATCCAGTGTCAAAATGTAAACGTTGAAATTTGAGTGGTCAATACAAATAGATATTATATTATTGTTTGTATTTTTCTGTATATTAGAAATATTTCATAAGGTAAAACAAAGTTTTAAACAAATAAGTAATTTAGATTTCTTTGTAAGTTAGTTTGTATTTCTGGCCTAGACCTTATCTCTTGTATACCAAACTGGCTATCCATATCTCCACTTGGATATCTAGATTATATTTCAAATACAACCTGCCCAAAATGGCATTCCTGGTTTCTAACCTTCCCTTTTATAACCACAGAATTCTTCCCCATTTCACTTGATCACATCTCTATGCTTCTAGTTGCTTTGCTCAAAAACTCTGGAGATTTTTGACTCCTTTATTTCTCTCACAACCCATTTATTACATCATGCGTTCATCTCCACTGATCATATCCTAGTTCGAGCCACCATTATCCTCTTACCTGGATTACTGCAATAGCCATCTCTTACATGATTTCTCTGTTTCTCTCCTTCCCTCTTCCTGCGTGAATTCAACATATTTGCAGAATGAGCCTTTTAAAATTCATGTCAGACATGTATTTCCTATGCTCAAGATCCTGTGATGAATTCTCCTTGTGCTCCAAATGGAAGCCAAATCCCTTACAATGTCCCCTAAGCCATAAATAATCTTGACCTCATCTTCTATTAGTCTTCTACTCACTCACTCTGGTCCAGGTACACAGGCTCCTTATTATTCCTTAAATATGCAGTTATATTCACTTCTTAGGCCTCTTGCATTGTCTAAAATGTCTGAATTTCAAGAATCCCTTCATGTGTTGTAACACAGATGTATTTGAGCTAAATGATTCCAATAATTGGACATGATCTGGATGCCCAAACTATTAAGTTTGCTAGACAACTAATTAAATAATATACCCAATTAATTAATATATTGGTTCCCAGATCCACTGATGGGAAAGTCAGCCCTATAGTGACAGATATCCTGAGGGTAGGAGAGCTCAGTGATCAGGACTCACCTCCAGTTTTGTTATAAAGCTCACGACAGTATTTTTCAACCACCTGCTGCAGAGTTTCTACGAGCTTCCTGTTCTGGGCTTGGAGAGATTGCAGGTGTTGGGAGAGATTCCCCGATCTTTCTTCCAGTTTATTAATGCTGTCTTTCTGAGTATTGGAGAACTGGTAGAACTGAAAAACTAAGCCAAGTTACCAAGTCAGACTGGACAGTTTATTTCTTTATTTCCATGTCTATTTTCTACATATGGGAAAGACAAAACAGTATCTTGTTCATAATCGCAGGCTCTGAGATCTCTTATTACCTATATTCAATTTTCGACTGTGGTAAATAATAAATTGCATTTCTGTGGGCAAGTTAACTTCTCCAAGTCTGTTTCCTTATCAGAAAATATGGAGTCATAGTAACAATTTCTAACTTCAGGAATAAATTCCTTAACCATAGTTACTGTTTAATAAATATTTTTGTATATTCTAAAATTATTACTCAACCTAAACCCACAAATCCATTTATCCTTTGTTCATTATATTGAGCATCGACAATGTACCATACATTATCTCATTCGGACATTAAAATGGTCATATTATAATTTCTATGTTTGTATACATTTGTGGTTTGACTCAGTAAGAATAAGTTACTATCATTTGATTAAAATGTTCAACACTCAGGTTTAAACTCCAGGCTTCTAAATCTAAATGCAAAAATCCTTTATGAAAAAGAAATCCTTTATGAATCATAGAAGTTGCTTTATATCCTTAAAAAGAATGGTGGTTGCAAAACAATAGTTAGATCAAAATAAAGTAGAAATTTTGGGATCAGGGCAGAAACTACTTTTTTATTTTAAAATTTAAGATGGCAAAAGTTTGCAAATTTCCTGTAAATTTTTTTTTTTACATTAAAACCTGCTCATCAATGTAACCTTTTATTTTGAACCACTTTTTTCAACTGTTTTAGGGAACATTGCTGTAATGATCTGATGAAGCAAATGTGTCCACTTCCTTTTTTTAAGTTTTTGAACTTGTCCTTACTAGCTTGAAATTTAAAAAATTTTATGCATGCATTTTCCTTTTTTGATTTTCATAGATTTTCACAAAGTGATAGTATAACTTCCTGGACCTTTTGAAAAATATTGCAGTGATTAAAGACCTGGTCTTTCTCCTTATATTGTGGGGGTGGGATATAAATGAAATCTCTTCCCTCTGTATTAGCCCACTGAGCCAGGCATGCTAACGATGAAAACGATTGCCTCAAACCTTTTGTGAAATGGAAGAAGCTGAAGCATGCATTTATTAATAATAGTTGATTTTAAATATTGGCATATTTAAACAAAAACTTTTTATCTCAAACAGAACATAAAAAAAAAAATCTAGCCAGCTGGGGGGATGTGGGGACAATCGGGGGATAAGGACACATTTGTAATACCTTGATCAATAAAGAAAAAAAAATCTAGCTAGCAATTGATTTCTGTATTTTAATGTTTCTTCCACTGCTCACTATTTAAGTAGGTACTTTAGAACAAGGTACATTGAATTTATTCACAGGCTCTAGAAGTAAAAATAAATAAATAAATAAATAAATAAATAAATATCATAACAAATATTTCTCATCCTAGACAAACCTTGAAGCCAGGATCCTCCTCCCCCAAGTCAGAGTGCAGACTTACACACAAACCCCAGTATTGCCAGGCCAATCAGCAGCACCAGGCACAAAATGATCAGGATCAAGGCCACTGGACGCCATGCTGAAGAGGGAGGTGGCTGCTCTGCAGGGAACAAAAGAAAAGACAGGGTGTGTGTTTTTTTTGTGCGTGTGTTTTTGTTTCTTTTTCTCTTGGATGTATGTCAGCTGCAAGCAAGTGAGAGGAGTTGGTTCAAGAACAAATCCTGCAGAACAACAGTACTCAGGGACTAGATAACATTCTTTCTGCCCTCAGAAACATGATCGTAATGCTCCAGGCCAAGCCTCGCTTTCCCTGGCTAGATTCTTTTTACCAGCCCCACCCATTTCTATCCCCCACACCCACACAGTCTTAGTTTGCAGTGAATCAAGTTATGCATTACTATTATCTTTATATATCTTTGTTTGTATAACTTTATTTTCATCAAAATTTGAGTTACAACAGAATCTCATGTAAATGCCTTAAGGAGGAACAATTTTTTACATCATCAAAGAAGAGATGAAATTAGTTTTTTGTCACTTTTGCAAAATGCCATCCCTCCCAAGTTTCATATGCTTCTTCCAAGACACAAATTGCATATCGGTAATGAGAAATTATTTTACTGTTTCTTTTAGGGATTTCTTTGTTGAAAGTCCCTCTTTTGTAAAGATTTTGTTTGTTCTTTCAATGTATAGCTCTCCAAATATAGATTATAGAGAAACAAATCATTGCCCTGGCCACTGTGGTTCAGTTAGTTGAGCATCGTACAGTGCACCAAAAAGTTGCCAGTTGGGTTGCCAGTTAGATTTCTGGTCAGGGCATATGCCTGGGTTGTGGCCAATTCCCAATAGGGCATGTGCAGGAGTCAGCCGATCATCTTTGTCTCTCATCGGTGTTTCTCTATCTCTCTTCCTCTACCTCCTTTCTCTATAAAAATCAAAAACATATTTTTTAAAAAAAGAAAAGAAAAAGGAACATGATCATCAATTTCTCAAGGATAGATCCAAGCTATCTCAATTTTGAGCTAATCCTATATAATAAAGAGTTAATATGTTAATTAGACTGAACAGCAGAATAACTGTAAAGGATGACCTTCCAGATGACCTTCCAGACAAAGCCGGGGCTGCAAGGGCAGGCTGAGTCTGCAAGGGGCTGCTAGGGCTGACTGGGGCTGTGAGGGCTGAGCCCCTTGCACAAATTTTGTGCATCGAGCCTCTAGTCTATATATATAAAAGTCTAAGCTACCAAAACAACTGCACTGCTGAATGACTGCACAGCTATGATGCACACTGACCACCAGGGGGCAGATGTTCAATGCAGGATCTGCCCCCTGGTGGTCAGTGAGCTCCAACAGCCAACCTCCCCTGGTCAGCCAACCTCCCCCAGTGGTCCCTCCCCTTGGCCCCTGGGCTGCGACAGGGAACCGGGGATGGATGGTGGCAGACGCAGCCCCTTTCCCAGAGGAGCTGAGGGCTGGCTCCCTCCTTGCGGCTGGTGGCCAACCTCCCACCCCATCTCCCCCCTGCCAGCAGGCCCTGATCAGCCTGCCACACACCCGCTGTGGTGACAGTGTGGTGGCGAGGGAAGGAGGGGTGAAGGCGGGGAACTGCACAGTGGCAGGGTGCTGATGATGGCAGCATCGGAGTCTGGCAACCATTCCTTCCACACACAGCCTGGCGACTGTTGCCTCCTCTCCGGCCTGGCCCTGATAGGCCTGGCCCCAATCGGCCCTGATCACCGGCCAGGCCTAGGGACCCCATCTGTGCATTAATTTCATGCACCGGGCCTCTAGTTAAGTAATAAAAAGCTTATAGACAACATCCCTTGTCCACACCCCCACAAGTTTACCATGTGGTAATTTTAGGGGCTCTGCTTAGGGGAAGTAAATCTGTCACCTAATGCGATCAGCTATCAATCTGAATGAACCTATGAATCTGACAAAGAAGACTCCCTGATAAGGTGCAGGTAGCATCTAGCATTGTGATTAAAATGAAACAAAGGGAGAGAGAAACCCTAAAACAAACTCATCTCTTTATGACTTGTGAGTTTCACTTCATCAAGAATTCAAGTCAGGTTCTAAAACAAAAAGATTAAAGAAACATAATTTCATTTCCTCTTTAGAAAATTCCTCTACAGAATTTATTCTACGTACAGAAATTTGTACCAAACATTATTTCCAAATAGGGAATGATAAGTGGTAAAGATGTATAGAAATAGAAAATATCATCACTATCCTTTGGAACTTAAAATCTAGTTGGGAAATTAAGTAAAAATAAAGGAGCAGACATTGATATATTTTAAAATGTGAATCTTAATTTCTCTTAGTAGTCATCTCCGTCATAAAAAACTTTCAATAGCTTGCATTACAAGTTGAATAAAATCCAAGTCTTTTTCATAAAGACTCAGATTGCTCTTTTTAAAAAAAATGGAAATTTGATTATGGTACTTCCAGACTTAAAACACTTCCAATACCTTTATTGCACTTAGAATAAAATTCTATAAGAGCCTTTTTCATCTAGATCAGCGGTTCTCAACCTGTGGGTCGAGACCCCTTTGGGGGTTGAACGACCCTTTCACAGGGGTCGCCTAAGACCATCGGAAAACACATATTGAATATATAATTACATATTGTTTTTGTGATTACTCACTATGCTTTAATTATGTTCAATTTGTAACAATGCAAATACATCCTGCATAATAGATATTTACATTACGATTCATAACAGTACCAAAATTACAGTTATGAAGTAGCAACAAAAATAATTTTATGGTTGGAGGTCACCACAACATGAGGAACTGTATTAAAGGGTCGTGGCATTAGGAAGGTTGAGAACCACTGATCTAGACCCTACATGACTCATCATTTTTGTACTACTCAGCCCTCAGGCAAATGCTCTACTCCAGTGGCCTCTGTTTATCCTTGAAAAAAACAAGCTTGTCACAGTGCCTTTGTGTTAGCTCTGCCTCTACCCCAGCGGTAATTAATCCTCAGGTGAATTTATTGGTAGGCTACTTCCTGGTATTCAGCTTTCAGTTTAAATGGCACTTCCTTAGTAGATGTCCATGCATCCATCTCTAGCACACTACCCTATTGTGTCTGATTTTTAAAACTAAGATTAATAGGTGTTATTTTCATGGATTTGTTTGTTTTTCTCTATCTCCTCCCCCTTAAATGTATACTCCACTTAAAAAGTGATCTTGTCTATCTTGTTCACCAGTGTATTTCTAGTACTGAAAATAGCGCCTGGCACATTAGGGCTGGATACATATTTAATGAGTAAATGAATGAAGAGTGAAATTATAAAAAAAAAATACTATTTCTTAAACTACATAAATTTTACAAAGGCACGGAAGATTATCTAAAGTTAAACCTTACAGATTGACTTTTTAAAAATCAACTGACTTTTCAGCAACCTTTCTGTCAGCAGAGGGCAGACTCAGCTAAATTCATCTCCTAGCTGTACTGGCTTCTAGCCATTGACATGTGAGATTCTGAATCATGAACAGATCTGAGATCTGGCCTGTGTGCTTTGATCTAAGTTTTCCTGGAAATTGCTGATTTCTCAAGGCATTGTCATTAGGAGTATCTCAGAGCAGCAGAGCATAAAAGAACAAGTCTAAACAAATTCTCCAAAACCTTGTCTTTTTAAAGTTCTATATCGCCAAGGAACATCAACCAGGTGGGTGTTTCTAGATTCCAGAGAAACAAGTGCATATGTGGACCAAATACCATGTTAGCTTTGTTTTTCTCCACATCTCTTATTACCATCAGATATATTACATATCTTACTTCTTTTGGTTTATATCTGTCAAACCCCAGTAGAAAGTAAGCTCCTTTTTGGAAAAGATTATTGTTCTTTTAGCACAGAGACATCAGTTGAAATAAGCTCAATTACTGTCATATGATATATATATATATATATGTATATATATATATATATATATATAATTTCATTTCAAAGGAATCATCTTTCCCTGATCATTTGGAAATATTTCTACTCTGACTCTTCTCTCTTTCTCTTTCTCCCTCACCCATTCTCTCCCTCCCTCTCTCTTCTTTCCTTCTTCCCTTCAACTTTTTTTCTCCCTCAGTATTTAAAATAGCTTCCTGTTCTATCTAAAGACCCAGAGAAAGAAAACCCTAGGGCAGTGATGGCGAACCTTTTGAGCTCAGCGTGTCAGCATTTTGAAAAACCCTAACTTAACTCTGGTGCCGTGTCACATATAGAAATTTTTTGATATTTGCAACCATAGTAAAACAAAGACTTATATTTTTGATATTTATTTTATATATTTAAATGCCATTTAACAAAGAAAAATCAACCCAAAAAATGAGTTCGCATGTCACCTCTGACACGCGTGTCATAGGTTCGCCATCACTGGCCTAGGGGGTTTCTATACCAGGTACAGTCACGTCTAAGAAACCAGACCTTCATGATGGAGAGACGATGAAGTTGCAAGCTGCACTTTTTCTTTTTCGCTCAGTCCCTGTAGGTGTTTTTTCCTAACTATGGTTTTAATATTCCTGCGTTTTAATCCAAGTGTGCTGCTTATAATGTGATCTCTCTCGAGGGATCACTCCCACCCTAAACTAAGAAAAATAAGCTGCTTGGAGTTGCTTGGGTTTGGCTTGGCTTCATTGTCTCTCTAATTTTTGGAAGAGAACTCCGATGCCGTCTCCTGAGGCATGTTTAGAAAAAGGTGTGGACAGGCCAAGGAATGATATAAACATCCCTAGGAATAATAAGATATATATAGAAAAAAAACAGCCTTTCCTGTATCCTCTTACTATAACTATTCTATAAAAGGCTATGGTGCTAAGGTCAAATTCTGAACACAAATTTCTTTGTAGTTATAAGAAACTTTGTGGATGAAGAGAGTTGTCACACCAAGCAAGTTACTCTTCATCGGGCATCAGAGAGGGGACATTTTATACACCTCCATTCCTTGGGTCTATAAAAAAAATGAAACAGACATTACTAAATTAATCTATTAGTATGCTTCCAAAATGAAAGGGATCATAAAAGCTGGAAGAGACAAAGAGAATTCAGAAATGTGCTCAAAGCCACATTGCAAACTAGTGGCAGAGCCAGGATTATATGGTC